TCACCCCAAAAAACTGCCACCCCAAAGCAGTTACCCCAAAGCACCATCACCCTAAAGCACCATCACCCCAAAAAACTGCCACCCCAAAAAACTGTCACCCCAAAGCACCATCAACCCCCAACACCAAACCTCAAAGCACAGTCACCTCAAGCCACCATCACCCCAAAACACCGTGTCCCCAAACCACCTTCAGCCCAAACCACCCAACCTCAGAGCACAGTCACCCCAAAGCACCATCAACCCCCAACACCAAACCTCAAAGCACAGTCACCTCAAGCCACCATCACCCCAAAACACCGTGTCCCCAAACCACCTTCAGCCCAAACCACCCAACCTCAGAGCACAGTCACCCCAAAGCACCATCCCCCAAGCCCCCCCCAGCCCCGACCCCACACGCACCACGTCGATCTCGGTGTTGGAGTGCCCCATGTTGCACACGATGCAGCTGTTCTTCATCCTGTCCAGGTGCTCCCTGGTCACCACGTTCTTGTTCCCTGCCAGACACCGAAATCCGGGGTCACAACCCACCTCCCCTTCCCCTTTTGGGAAGGGCTGGAGGTGGTTTTGGGGTCAGGTCCCCGGTTTCCCCCTCGGTACCCGTGCAGGTGATGACGATGTCGACCTGTCTGATGACCTCGTTGAGCTTCACCAGCCGGAACCCGTCCATGCTGGGGGGGGGAGAGAGGGGGGAGAAGGGGATGAGAAGCAGCAGAAACACGCCAAAAATAGAAAAAAAAAAAGGGATTTTCAGGCACTAATTATAACTTTCTAACGCCAGACTGGAAAACAGGGCGGCAGCACCCGAAGGGCCACGGACCCTGAGCCGTTTTGGAAGTTTCTGAAGGATTTGGGACTGTTGTGGGAAGAAGTGAAAAAGAGATTTTTGGGGTTTCGTGTTTTCTGTCAAGGTCTTCTCGCCTGCAAACCTCAGTTCTCAATCCAGACAGGTTTTTTAAAAGCTGCTCCTCCTGCAAAGCACATCCAGGAGCTGCAGAATCTGTGTCGGTGCGGATTTGGATCGTCCTAAAAAAACGCCCCAGCCCTGCAGATGTCTCTCCTGAACCCCGAAATCCACATTTAGGCACCTACAGAGCCTTCAGAAGTGCTGAGTCTTCCCTGCCTTCAGCAGCAAGGTGTGTTTGGATAACAGGGGCAGGATGTTTTTTTGGGATTTGTTGACAGTCCTCCCCAGAGCTCATTTCTGAGACTCTCACAAGCTGCAAAATCAGAGTTACTATAAAAAAAGCCTTTTTTTTTTTTTTTTAATTGCTGTATGTCCCATTTACTGAGGCTTTTCCCCCCCCCCCACTGCAAACTCCTTCCTAGAAGGGACACACACTGGGGACAACCAAATTCCCAGTTAAGGCTGGGGGTGCTGGATGTGCCCCTCCTGAAGGTCGCAGAGGAACCCAAAGTTCATCAGCTCAGCTAATTAAGCAGAGCTCGTTAGTTCTCTCCCCACAACGACCCCGTGGCCAGGAAAAGGCTGAGGGTTTGATGAGGCTCTGGGTGTTTTGGGGACTCTGCTTTCCCAATGATGTCCCATCCCACACCTTGGGATGTGGGAGCTCCAGACCAGCCCGTCCCTGGAGGACACGAGGCCGGCGGGTGCTCGGCCCCGTGTGGGGTCCTGGTGAGGGGTTTGTGAGGGGTGGGGGGGTCACAGAACCAAAACACCCCTCGGGGAGGTGTGTGCAGGGCACTGGGAATCCCGTGTTGGCATTCCAAAGGGCACAGCTCGTTCCCAACACCCCCCAGTCCGTGTCACTGCCCTCTGGGCTGTGTGGTTGTGGTTGCACCCCCGGCACGTGGGATATGGATAAACCAGGGGATGCTTTAGCCAGAACCCTTCTCTGCCTTAGGATGGAGCTGTGGGTCCCTCCAGGGTGCAGAGAATCCCTGGACACCTCCCCAGCGTCCCTTTGGGAAGGGATCTCTGCCCAGTGGCTTCTGGACAGAGTTTTTCCTGGGAAAACAACCCCAACCCGGGCTGGGTGCGAGCCCTTACCAGGCCTGGAGGGCACAGATGGGGTCGATCTCTGTCACGTACACGATGGAGCCCATGGCCTTCAGAGCAGCACAGCAGCCCTTCCCAACCTGGGAAAACAGGGACAAAGTGGAGCAGGAGGGAGGTGTCGAGACACTCCAGGAGTATTCCCAGGGATGGACAACTCCGGGAGACTCTTCTGTCCTCCCCGGAGCCCTCTGGAACCCTCCTGGTGGCAGATGCTCAATTTTTGGGGCACGGAACTCCTGGATTTGGGGTCACCCGAGGCCTGGCTCAGGCCCAGCTCTGAGCAGAGGCACCAAAAGATCTCCCCGTGCCGCCGGTTTTGGGAGTTTATTCCCCCAGAACTTCCCAGGATCCCAAACACACCAACGGGAGAGTCCAGAAGGGCCAGGGAGGGTTGGAGAGCCCCGTGTGACCTTTGCCCCAACTCAGGGTCGTTAATGGTCATTAACCCCGGGGGGTTAACGAGCTTTACCCTTTGCACAGCACACCCACTGCGGGGGAACCCGGGTTAAATGGCCAAAGGTTCCCAAAAAATGGGATTATGAGGGAGAAAACGGAGCCATTTCAGCTGCTTGGATTGAAAAAAGGATCCCAGTCCAGCCCCCACAGCACAGCCCAGGGCACTGGTGGGAACTGGGAAAGGGGGAATATTCCCACATGGAGACAGGAAGGGGCAGTTTGGGGGCGAAGGCACAGGGGTATGAATGAATATAAGATTCACATTTATATAAATTATATATATATTTATATTTATATATACTTATATATAAAAATATATTTACATACATAAATATATTTTTATATATTTATATATAGTTATATTTATATTTTTATATATTTATATTTATTTGCATACAAATATATATATAATTCATATAAATGGTACATATTTGTGCACAAATTAACATAAACAGTATATATTAAATATGCATTTATATAAATGTAATATATTCATATATGCATTCATATAAATGTAATATATTTATATACACATTTATATAAATTTAATATATGCATATATACATTTATAATATTTATATACAAATCCATATAAATTTAATATATATTTATATACAAATCATATAATTATACATTTATATATAAATCCATATAAATGTTACGTATATTTGTATATTTTATATATTTATATACAAATTTGTATAATTTTACATATATTTATATACAGTTCCATAGAAATCAATATATCTTTATATACAAATTTATATAAATATATGTATGTTTATACTCAAGTTTATATGAATTTAATATATATTTGTATAAAAATCCACATAAATTTAATATATTTATATATACATTGATAAGTTTATATATTTATATACAAATTTGAATAAATTTTATGTGTATTTTTATACAGTTGTATATAAATCCACATAAATTTAATATATTTATATATACATTGATAAGTTTATATATTTATATACAAAT